GTGCCGATTCTCATTGCGAACCTGATCCCGGAAATACCCTACTTCGTTCGTCGACGCCGCCGATGGTCTCACACAGTTCCATGTGGCGCCGAGCTTCAAACACGGCCCTCTATGCAGTGCCCGGTCATCTCGGTCTCGTCCGGCGTCACTACCCCGCTCCGGGTGCGGCGAACGCGCGTCGCGGCGGTGGGGGTGGCAGCTGTGGGTTGGTGGGTGGCTCCTAGGTTAACTCGGGTCGCCTTGAGCAAGTCAACTTGTCGAGCATGGAGCTCGGTCGCTTGGTCAGCTGACCCTGGCGTCGGTGAATTTGACTCGTAGTGCCGGATGCCGCGGGAGGATCGCTCGGCTGCCGCAACTTGATCAGGGTCTCGCTGGATCATCGGTCCGCACACCTGCAACTGGTCCACGACCGTGCGTGCTTTGCCAGTGCTAGCAGCGCATTTGGATATGGCCAAGCGTCGGACCCGCTTTAATGCGCAACATTCGCAGACCAAATGTTGCTTATATGTGGCACCATCTCCCCGTCGGCCTGATCGGTTACCCGACTGCTGGACGACAAATACCAGGCCATTCTAGCTTTTGGCAACATTCCACGTTTGGCACGTATCGTAGTCTATCGGTTATCATTAGCGCAACCAGGGATGGGTCGATCGCTCTTTGTCGCACACCAGAAGATTGTTCCGAAAATACAAATGCTAAGCCCAATTTTTTGGTCTCTGACGCTCAACCACTCGCCTGCATACCTAGCGCGACAATTCCCTTGTACGCCTCACTAAGCATGTCCTGCCGCTGCAGTTTCTCAAGCCACCGCGCCGGGATCTCCTCGTATCCATAACACGATCCAGCCAATTGTCCGTACACGGCACCGACCGTATCAACATCACTTCCCAGGGGAAGCAGCAGCATTAAACCCTACGTAATGATAGAATGTCACATCTTGGCATCTAGACGAGGTGAGACGAACTATACCTCCTCGAAGGTGTTCCCCCGCCAGAGAGCCCAGAGAGCAGCTTCGAGCGTCGAGAGCACGAATCCATCGGTCTTCACCTCGGACTCCTCTCTATTCTTGTACAAACCCTCTTCGTGCAACTCCCGCACCCTCTTAGTCACCAACGGTATAGGTGATCCGTCGGCAAATGGTGTGAACTCCGGGTTCAACACTGCCCGCTTCCGTTCACGCGCATTTCCCTCGGCGCGATAAAATCCGATCATATACACGGTCGCGAGCACACACGCATCGATGCAGAACGGGCTAGAGTGCGTCACCCTTGACTGGAGGGAGGCCGTTGCAATCGCTTTGGCCAGATTGTGGTGCAGCGCAGCCGGGACCGGTGACAGGCGCATGAGGGAGCCGTTTCCAGAGTTTACGGCTTGTGGGTTCATGTTGGGCTCGCCTCTCGGCCGTGGGTAATTCGAGTCGAGCAGCTTGACATACGTTGTGAGCGCTGACATGGTTGCCATGCCTGCGAATGGTATTAGGCAACTGGGTTTCAAACAGCGTATGGCTAACCAATATCGAAGCAGTTGCCGATCACAGAAAGATAACCTGTGCTGATGTTATTCGCAATCAATTAGGTCTTTTGTTTCACCTACCATGTCTCCACCAACTTGTCCATCTTCGTGCAACATCAACCCAATCGAGGTTCCCACCGGTGGTTGATAGAGATACGGCCAAACATAACTACCCGCACATGGTCAGTGTATTGCCGTTGGAACAAAGATCGACGTACCTGCATGGACGTATCGTCTGTCCACGAGCCCGCTGCGAGCGGCTTTCCCTACGAAGAGAACGTCAATCGCGCGTGATTCAGCTTAAGTTTGCCGGGCACCTTGTAGCGAAAAGTCTTGCATATTTCCATGTTCCCTGTAGGCGTGTAGCTGCCTCTGATTCGAAACTGCGTGCGAGTGTCAATGGCTCCTCACCATGTGAATAGCAAGTAAATACCTCATAGGGTGCACCTAGTGCGTCACCAACTGCCGAACCCCATAAACTTCCCTTGATGCGTGATTCAAGTGCTGCGCTCATAGTCAACGATCGGGTGGTGCGACGAGACATGTTCGCGTACGCGGGGTTGTTGTACCTGATGTGACAGCGCCAAGAAGACACAGCACGAGCGCGCTTGAATAGGTATCACAGATTAAGCGCCTCGAGGTGATACATTATAGCAGCAAGTGTTTTACGGTGATTACAACAGTATCCAAAGCAGTGCTAACAGCGGTTTTAAATAGATATAATGTGGGGACATCAAACGATTAGTCGTCTCCGTGAAGGTCCCGGAAGTTACCTCTCTCTTGCCCTCCACGGTTCCCTGGCACGTTCTTGTTCCTGCACGTATTTGCATAATGTCCTTTTTGTCCACACTTCCGGAAAACACGGTTAAATTAGTGTGCATGACTAATAGTAGAGCTATCCCACCTTGAAGCATAGTACATCATCCAAATTGCGTCGCGGAACAAATCCAGGATTGTTAGCCCCAACAACAAACCCGCCTCCGGGCCCACCTTGCCCACCCCCATGCTCGAACCGTCCATATCCAGGAGGTGGAGGGCCTAGATCACGCTGAGACGGTGGCGAGGGTGGTCGATACGCTTCGGGCTGGGGAATATCTGGTTTAGGGCTAGATGCCAGGTCAATGGATGTGATCCAATTAACGAAAGATCTACAAGGAACTCACTGTCCACGCTTGCATTCCGGGCCGTCCGGACAAAATCCGCTCATATACAACTGGCAAGCGACACGTCGAACGTGTTTTCGGGGGCAATCCGGGCCTATACATCGGGGAGTCTCAAGCAAGGTCGTTGATCGGGTTGGCCCATGCGTACCTAGTCTGCAAAACCCCCGTTGGTAATCGGGGCACTCTATCCTTCGCTCTTTCGGGTGTGCGTATAAACACTCGTCGCCAGCCGTGCATGTTCCATGCCGAGCGAACCACCAACATTCGGGCATCCGCCTAAGGTTGTACTCGTGCAGGAATTCACACGCGTCGCCCTTTTTGCAAAGTCCACGGAGCCAATGTTTGCATACGGTGGCCAGTCGGTCGCGACCGACCGATGATGCCTCGGGAGGGCCGAAGTTCAACGGACTCGGCGTTGTATGCCTCAAAGGACAGTGAAGTGGTCCGAGGGGACATCCCGCCGGAGTTAGCGCAAGCCGACAGATTTGTTCATCTACAAAGGGAAACAGTTGGGCTATTTGCGTAATTTTTTAGTGGAGAACGCACCAGTGTCCAGCTTTAGACCCAGCTGATTTTTTATGTAAGCCTCGATGGTCGAGTTTACCTGGTGAAAGTCGGGGTGAACAACGTCGGCTAGTACTTGATTTTGAGCCAGCGGGTCTTGGAACTGAGTGGCCATGGTGGTCGTGCTCGAGTGGCTAATCAGTGGCAGTGCTTCCCCACATTGGTCACGACTCGCGCGACCGGACTCGGATTTGAGCTCAGCGCGACCCAGAAGTTGCTTCTTGTTACAACGACCATATGCCCCACAGACTGGACCAACAAAAATCCTGGACATGATGCAACTCGAACCACACCCTAAAGCCAATTTACTATTTACTGCATTATCTTTTGTTGATGGTAACCGGATACCCACCGATGTCGTGTGGACGTCGAATGGGTCTGGGCGCTGGCATCCCTTGTGCGTTAGTGGTGGGCTGGGTGAGGGAATTTTCTTTTCTTTTGTGCAGAACAAAAAGATAGACTCGACACTAATTTTCGGCTTGAATCGGTGGATTACAGGATGACAACCGTGTCGGCGGTATCGCATGTGCTAGTGCGATAAATCTTTGTTCTTTCGGCCGGTTGTCTTGGTCAACGAAAAACGTGTTTCGGCGTGCGGGATTGGAACCGGGAAGAAGGACACATTCAGGGTCCACTCCCGAAAAGTGAGTGACGGAGCCCGTTGACCCTCCATTCAACACCTGTCATCAACAGAGACTCAAAGCCCCCCCGCCAATCGCCCGCTTGGTCCTTTGCTCGTGTGCTTTTTTCTTTTAGGGTCCTATTTCCATCGTCTGGCTGCAGCTTAAAAGGGGACATCTGGCCGACACTGATCCGCCCACTATCATTTGCGTCTCCCCCTTTGAATAGACACTCTTACGCCCCCCATAATGTCCTCAATGCCATACCTGGTGCGCCTCGACTTTTTCCTCGTGGGTGGTCTTTAGAAAACTGAAACAGTGCATATATAGAAGGGAGACAAGGTCTTTGCCAAGTATCTGAGTGCCGAGCCGCAGACGTTCCAGCAGGTACGCTGGGTAGCAGGTGAGAACAGTTTAATAAGTAGCGCGCAGTGCCCTCCTTGGGGACTTTGCCTTGTCAAGTCTTTGGGTGGCTAACACCGTGGGATTGCCCGTAGGTACCGTCGTCGATATGAAGGAGGTCAACGGGCACTGGATGTACTCTGTGCGATTGAAAGATGGGGCAAGTAGTATCACAATTCGAGCATCGCACTCCTGTTCTAACTTGTTTCTGTAGAGTATCATGCCCAACGTATCAGAACGTTACAAATGCAGTAAGTGAGCGGATTTCTCACCCCGGCCTCGTACTTACCGATTTCGTTCCAGTCATGCACAAAACTCCAGATAATTATCACGCACTATTGTATAGCGGGTTCACGAACTTGGAGCCATAATGCACTGGCCATCCATAGTCTCCGGCCCGGCACAGATCTCAAAATCATCGGCCATCTACTACCGCCTACCTGTATAGTTAAATTCTCGCCACCTTTTCTTCTTGTATCATTCGCTTTCTTCAATGTTGTCTAGTTGCTCTGCTTTCAAAAAGTCCTGATGATGAAAAGTCTATCAAGATAACGGTCCAGCGGGCGGTTCCCTTCTTGCCCTTTTGGTGAACAGCATGTCACGTGAGCCAAGGAATGTCCGAGATCAAATTCCCATTTCTTGCACTTGAGCCCCCCGAAAACACCTCTCATGAAAAACTGTCTTTTGTCAAATTAGCAATTCCATGTGCTAGAGGTGACAAAAGTTCAGCAAAACAGATCTCTCCCAGGTGGGCTCGAACCACCAACCTTCTGATTTCAAGTTTAGGTGCTCGTGACTAAGCATGCCTAACAGTCAGACGCGCCACCAATTGCGCCATAGGAGATGTCTTCACAGCCCGAGAACACGATCGTGACCCCTCAGTCGCTCTTGAGCTAATTGATGCTGCATCCACACGTTAAGACTGTTAACATCCGCCACTCGCCGACCACTCTTCGTAGCAACCCTCTGGAATGGCAATCAGACTAGGCGCTTTATGTTCTCTTAGACAAAACATTGTGCCCATCACGCGTCCTCGGCTTCAAGCATGTCTTGGTCGTCCCCCAGGTATATTTGCTCACACTAGCCCCCCGTTTCGGGCGGCACATCTGTCAACGCGGCCTCGGTTGTGTAATACACCCACGCCAGCTACAAAATCACCCATTTTAACGCTTCTCCGCGGCCTCAGAAGCGCCATTGAACGAACTTCTGTGCGACGGGTCTCCCGCCCGCTTCGACCCCCGTTTGGAAGCAGTAGTGGCGATGGTTTCGTTGCACGATGGAGGAGACGAATCGACAATACGAACTCAGACCTCATCTTCTATGCGGTTATTGGAATCAACGGAGCAGTGTTTCTTATGTGGGCCTGGGGACATGAGAACCTGGTATGTATTGCCAAACCTTGCACCGTCCATCCTATTCATTATCTTTCGCAGCAAAAGTTTAGAGATCCAGCTCCCCTCGTATTCATGTATAAAAACTTTACTACATCGCTGCAAAACGTCATGGATGGCAGGGTGTAAGCACGAGACTGGTTAGAAAGTCTCGCGCTAATTACATCGTACATCAGATGGACTCTTTTGACCGCCTGCTTTTCGCATGAAGCTACCGGCCATCTATTGGTAAATGGAATGTCGTTTTGGTGAGTACCAGGTTCCTAGCCAAGTATCTTAACCGACACCTTGCAAGGTTTATGGCACCCCCTGTTATGCGCATGCTGGGGAACTCGGCATTCCTTGCACTTTACTTGGGGGGAGGAATTGCTGCCAGTGCCTTTTCCCTTGCCTGGAATGCTGTAGTATCACATCGATCCGTGAATGCCCACGGTGCTTCGGGGGCAATATATAGGTATGTCTGCGCAAAGTGAAATCCGTCGCCCTTCTAACAACATATACACAGCGTAATATCTCTATTTGCTTGCATGTTCCCCCAGACAACCTTCCTGTTGTTCTTTGTAGTCCCTGTTCCAGCGTGGTTGTGTGTTAGTGGTATCTTCGCCTGGGATCTTTATGGAGCACTTCGACGCACCGGAGGGATGACTGATAGCGCAGGACACATTGGTGGCGTGCTGGCAGGAATAGCCTTCTTCTTGAGGATGGGGGGACGTTTTGGCCGGTAGGTTTTTGTTTGACGACTAGAATAGATCGGAAGACCGCCCAAACTTCCGTTTGTTTGTACGCCCACTGTATAACCCCAACTCATAACCCCAACTCAGCAGTAATGCATATAATTCTAAAGCATTGACTTAAACATAGTTCGATGCGCATGATCAGCGGCTCAGAGGAAAGTGTTAGTAGGCTTTAATTTGGGTGGCACGATGATCGGGGCATAGACAAACGCGATATGGACGAGCAGAAACAATATGTAGAAAGGGTTATATGCGCACCGCGTGGCTCGCCAAATATCAAGTGTTGCGAGGGAACACAAACGTGGACTGTGGGGCTGTGCGATTGCGCAGGCAACAAGAATGACGAGCGCAGTGACGTCGGCGGTGCTCCAACCGCGTATATAGGGCTCAGGTCTTGTGTTCGACGCCATTCTTCCCGACCACATCGCACTCGAATATGTTCCATAAACTACAAGCCAAGGTCTGAGTATTATTTTCACTCGTGCCGCGAGTTATTGACCTGTATGCAGGCTCAAGCGGCCCTCAGCGGCCTATCGTCCGATAACAACGATCACGCCTCTGGGCACACCCAATCCACAGCGCAAAGCCACCACGACCCAACTCAGCCGACCCAGCAGTCGACTGGGCGTCATCATGCTCTTGATAACATCACACACACGCTGAAGGCGCTTCATACTCAGTATTCGTGAGTTTCGTTCACTTATCTGGCCGAGATATGCTCTTAGCAGAAGCCACCAACAGCCCACAAATGCGCCCCGACGCTCGCCAGCTACAGCTTGTCATTACCAGCCAGAAGGGCGTAGCGGTAAGTCTTCAGATCGAGGCGGATGTCGCACGATCTCACTGTCATTTCCAGCTGGACTTTGATGCAGTCTCGCGTGACTCCAAGAGTCATTCCAAGGAGCTCTACCTCTGGGGCCAAGATCAAGTTGAAGACGTTAAAGATAGCAAGTATATTCATATCTCCTAGATAATACTCTAACATAGCTCTGTGACAGTCTCTGATCGGATTGCCTACGTCAATTTTGTGCACGGCTCGCTCGCCAGTGACTTGAGCAGCTCTCTCGACACGGCACGCGCATCGTACAAGTCCCTCCGTGAAGCTGAAACTTCACTCCATCCGCGCCGCACGATTCGCTCCAACATGAAGGCCGAGATAGAACGCATCAAGGCCGCTGGATCTGCGGGCAAGGCCCCTGCCAACGGTGCTGAGCGCGTGGCCGAGCTACAGAGTCAATTGGCCAAGGCCGAGGCCGATGATGCCCCTCAGGAACGCGAAGTTGCGCTCCTGAGGCGTCGGGCTTTGATCGAGTGTGAGCAGAAGAAGTGGGCTGCTTTTAGAGAATACGGCGCGAAGCTTGCGCTACTCGCCGATGCGTCCGATGCGTTGCTCGCCGAACTTCCGGAGCAGGAGCCGCACGGCGCGTACGCGGGTGCTACAAATACCGCCCGGATTCGCTCGCAACTCCAGCATGCTGTCGACTCCTACGCGCCTGTGCAAGGCCAAACGAACCAATTCAAGAGTGCTCCGGCTGCCCCTGGCGTTGGAGCGACTGCAGACACGCGCAGCTTCGGCGAGACCCACAAGGACGAGTTGAGCAGCTTGCCCCCGACCGTGCATCCCACGCCTCAGCCTGGGTCCGGACCTGGAGCACTCGCCGAGCAGCGGTTCGGGTCGCAGCCCGCCACTGGCGCACCCTCAGGCTCTGTGCCTGGACCGGAGTCTGTCACTCACAGCAGCACATCTGCTACCGCTGGCCATATAGGTGCACCTACGGCCCCACCTCTCAACCCAGCATCCCTGAACCACGCACCTGCATCCATCCCTAGCCATTCGCCAACTGTGTCGTCGTCGCTCCGCGATGCTACTGTTACCGGTCAACCCGCTCACGTTCCTGCGAGCAACACCACCGCCAATACTACTTCTCCTTCTGCCGCAGCTTCTGTGCCAGTCCCTTCTGTGCCCACCAACCCGACAAGCCATATCACTGTCGCCGAAACTGGGGTGCCACTAATGGCTGGTGCCGACGGACCGGGACCCAAGACTGGAAGCCTGAGTCGCGATAATGTACCCACTGCAACCGGGGCCGCTACCGGTCCCAGTACGGGAACCGTCCCTCTGGCGGGCACTGCGCCCCAGACAGGCACTGTTCCCGGAACCGCTGAACAACTCCCAGGATTCGAAGGCGCGACGCGACACGAGACTGCAGAAGAGGAGAAAGCTCGATTGGCCCGGGAGGAGCGCGAGAGTCTGCTGCATAGCTCTACTTCCAGCGGAGGCCACTTGTCTGCGGAGGAGGAGAAGGCGCGTCTCGAGAAGGAGGAGAGGGAGCGCATACTTCGTGGCCAACAGGGCGAGCCCGGAGATGATGGGAAGGCTGCTCTCCCCCCATACGCCGACTTTTGAACGACTGATATGATCTAAATGTCCTGATTGTGAACATCTGTTGTAGCTTATGCGAGTACTTTAAAATGAATCCTCGTGTCTTTATCGGTCGCGTGCCTAAGCTGAAACAGAATCACATAAAATACCACGTTGTATTCAAAGCAGAAACGTAATAGACTCAACACAGCTCGTACCAGGATAACACTTAAATAGCCCACTTCTTTCCCTTGCCTCCCTTCCTCTCGCTCTCCTTGTGGCTGGCAAACTCCACTTCGGTGGCCAGGGGGCCACTGAGCCTTTGGGCCTCCGCAAAACCAAGCACGTCTGTCTTGAAACGTCTTCCGATCGTTTCAATTCGTTGCTTCAACTCCTCTTCGGTTTCTCCTTGGTTGGGGGTACCGCTGGCCATTCCAGGGGCGAGGCGTGTCCAAATGGATATTCGGTAGAACTGGAGGCGAGAGGAGACAATGACACCGCTAATAAGGGAAGTGGGGGTCGGCGCTGTTGACTCTTTGTCTGCTTTGGAGAGGGCGGGATCGAATGTCTCGCCAATTGCAGCAAGCATCTGGGGTGGAAAATGTCAGGCCTGGTGTGACAGTTGATATTCTTGGACATACGGTGTAAAGCCACATCTCGTCAATGCGAGCGCGGTTCTTTTCTTTGGGGAGTTGCACACTCCATCTTCCGCCGTCCTTGTTGCTTGCATCCTCCCACGCGGGCATGATATCATCCTGCGAGCCAATGAGTAAGCACGCAAACATGAGCCACATAACAGAAAATATCAATCTACCTTGAAGAGATAGTAGTTTGCCTTGGGAGGTAGTTTAGATGGTGACACGATATTGTTGTAAAGCCTACGAAAAGGCGAGTTAGCTTGGTTAGCTGGAAGGGTATGGGCGACTTACCCCCAGAACTCTTCGACAGAGTCGAACTTTATTAAGCGCTTGATATCGTCCATCCAACTAAGGGCTCCGGGGGTGGGAGGAACACCACCCGGAGTCGGGGGTACGGATGTCGACGGTGTCTGAGGGAGGGTTTTGCCCTTGGTGTTAGGGGAATCGAACCAGAGAGTCCAGGGAGAGTATAGTGGATGCTAAACGCGAATAATATAAGCTGATGGATCATGGGTTCCGCGAACCGGCCTTACCTTGACGTTGAAAGTCTGCGGGTCTTGGAAGACGGTGCGCATTTCGTCGAACTTGGCAGCATCAACAATCACGTCTTGGCCCTCGTCAATCTCGCCAAGCTCTACCTCGGGCGAATCAGCAATTGCAGCCTTGAGGGCAGCCTGGGAGGCAGCCTGGGCAGCAGGAGGGAGTGTAGAAGCCATGTT